GGTTCGCTGCACCGCTGCTGCTCTGGGCCAGGGCTGTTTAGCCTGAGATCTCCACATTGGGGGGGCCGACACTTCTGAAAAGGAGAACTCCAAAAGCGGTGGATCGGTGTCCCGCCGAGGCGCGGGGACACCCCACACGGGGCGGGCCTTGGAAACTAGAGAAGTTGGGCCGACGGGGAGGTGGTCTGCAACCTCAGGACGGAGGGGCTCAAAGACCTCTCCCCCATCCTGGGCACGCAACCCCCCCCGGTCCCCCAACCGACACTATCTACTTCTCAATCTTGATATGCCTAACTAGCTTGCCTCTCGGGGCCCGGCCTGGCTTATTGAAGCCTGCTGCCCTGAGAAGCTGATAAATCACCTGCTCGACTGATGCTACCTTTCCTACCCCATTTAGCTCGAACTCTAGAGGCGACCTGATCACCCGTCCCGCCGCGACTGCCTTCTCGTCTGGCTCTGCGGCCTGGTCCTCGATGGTCCTCCAGAGGGTCTCCTGTTCCTCGAGCAAGTTCGGCCCCTGGGCGCGAGGGTCGGGCAGTATGATAAAGCCGACCACCTTGACCGTGATCCTCGAAATGGCCGAGTCCTGAGTGTTGCTGGTGCTGCACTCCTTGGCCCAGGTCGACGCCGTGGACATGTCGCTCTTCTGCATCATCAGGAGGAGCCGATTGGGCACATCCGCTCGGTTCTTGACCGAGTCCTGAGCTGCGCCCTGCTTCTCGAACCAGACGTTGAAAGCGCCCAGAAGCGCGGCAAAACTCTGCAACTCTGGAGGGCCGAGACCGTGCGTCCCCGCCTTGCCCTCCGTCTTCTTCTGGTACTCCGCGTGCGTGCCCTTGAGGGCCGCCACTATCTCCGCATCGCTGGGCCCGTGCACCGTGAGGCCCGCTCCGAACTCCAGCGTGCGGACTCTGGACTCGAGCTGTCGAAGCAGTCTGGCGTTGGCGTGCGACTCCTCTCCCTTGCCCTCTCCCTTGGCCGACTTGGCCTTGGCCCCCTCGCTGGGCTGTCCTTCCTCTGCCGCTCGTTTGCCCAGTGTGCTGGCCATGGGCCAGTCTGGCATCCTCTTGACGATAGAATAGGATGCTCTCCTCGAGCCCAGGAGCTTCAATCTCGAGAGCGTGAGTGTGAAGATGCTGCTGGAGGTGAGCAGCCAAGATATGTCTACGGAGGTCGCCATTGTCGCTCGCAGTGTAGTCGCAGGCAGGACATTCGAAAGTTCGGGGTAGTAATACTTTACCAACTGTGCGGCCCTGATCACAAATACATCGACCCTTTAGAAAACTCTGATGCGCGTGCCGCTTCGCGTAATCGATCGACGAGAAATTCGAACCACATATAACACATTGACTGGATACACAACACATTCTACCGAGTAGCTGCTCTCCGTGGGTCCCTCCTTTTCTCATCAAGTAGTGCGCCGCCAACTGCTTGTTGCTGAAAAACTCTCGTTGCATTGTTCGCCGTCGTCTTCTAGTGCTGTGCATCTGTGGGCCCCCCCCTCTCTCCACCATCTCCTGTGCGTGCTCGTGCATGGTGATGTTTAAGAAATAGTGCGCCGTGACCCCTCCGACATCTAGTTGTATGAACTCCTCCCTGCCCTCGTGAAGAATCTTTTCCAATCCATATCTCCAGGGGCCTCGCGCCGTCATCGAACATCGACCGCTCGAATGTCCCCGCGCAACTGTACACGCCGCGGATTCGCCGCCCCTTCGCTGCTCAGGTATTTCTGAATTTCGTTGCTGTTATCGCCCCGAGAGCACCCGACAACAACTACAAGACACTGAGCACACCGTGGGGGTTCTCGAAGAAGACAAGCCTGAAGCCATCTGAGTCTCCTGGCACGCATTTCGGCTCGATGGGGCCGCCAGGCGCACTTTTGCCAGCGCCTGTAGGTTGGTGAGGGCCCTCACCGAGCCGTCTTCTTGCCAGAGAGCCGTTCCTCTCATCGAGGTCCTCGCGCGCATGGCAAGAGAAGAAAGTGCAGGTTGCCAATCTTGGGCTCGCATGGGCCCGTTGCGCGCGCCGAACTTCGGCTCCACTGTAGCATGCATTGCCGACGTAGCCCTTCAGCAGACTGGTCTTCCAACTGAGTGGGACGCCACTCGTCCAAACACGGCGAAGCAGGTGCCAGGCCGCGCGCCCAGCCTGCAAGCGAAATTCAATTTCACAAAATGCGAAACGCGAAAGAATGTGCGGCCCCAAGTACCTGGCCCATGTTGTCGTGCGTCCGTCGAGGCACTTTTCGTTTAGAAGCCTGGTCTCCAGGTGCGCTGCACTGTGGCCGCAAAGAAAAAAAACATGTTCTCCTGCTTAGCGACATCCCGAACCATCGTGATCTCACTCACTCTCTCCGTAATAATGCCATTATGGTGCCTACCCGCTTCGAGGATGGTCGCCATGGCGTTGGTCGGGGCGTCGAGATTGTCAGCGGCGTCGCCCACATAGAGTGTGACAGCTGCTTGTATCCACTTGTTGTTCCACGGACATTTGAAACTGTTGTGCTTGTAGTTGTCCACCGTAATAGATCCCGTGCCCATTTGTCGCGAGTAGGCCCCTACAAGTAGTCGTACCATGGCTGGATCATCTGGTAGACATCCTTGCTGAAGCAACAAACCAGCGCTGGCCGTGTCCCCAGGAAGCATGAGGCTCGCGACTTGGACTCTGAACTTCATGATCGCCCAGCCCTCCTCCCTGAAGATGTGCTCTACCTCCTGGCATAGGCCCTCGTGGTCGATGCTGTAGAAGGCGCTGGTGGAGCACTGTAGCCTCTTCACGTGGGGTTCGCCATTGCAGTACTTCCGCCGCGAGAAAGCCTGCTGGGCAACCGCGGCGGCCTCGCGCCGCCGTCCAGGTAGGCACCCGCAAACCCATGGCTCCACAGTCGGGAGGCGCCCTCTCGTCAGTAAGCTCCTGAAGCGCGCCTTCGCGACCGTGCGCGCTAGCATGATGAGCCCCTCGCCGTCTACGCCCTCCTTGCTGTTCCCCTTTCCTGTTTTGCAGGCATCGGAGCAAATCCAGGCGCACGGCAACTTGTTGCTCTCTCTGATGCCTTTGAGGCGGCAACAAAGGACGGACTGCGCGGGGCCCGCGGTGATCTTCTCCGTATTCTCGTATCCAATGTCATGGGGCGTCTTCTCCCTCCGCTCGTTGACCCAGTTGGGAAGCATGGCAGCTCTGAGGAACTCGGCGCCGATGCTGGCCTGCGGCGCTGCCCGCCAGAGGCGGAGGCGCCACGCCTCGGCCTTGGGCGCCTCCAGGTCCTCAGCTATTGTGTCGTTGTCCACGTCCTGGTAGCTTTCGGGTAATCTGTCTAGTAGGTCCATCATATGATCCGCTGAGAGAGGGAGTGCCGAAGCGCCGCCCTTGTCTCCTGGTAGTTGCAGTCGATCTGTCCATTCCGTTGCCGTGCCGCTGGTCGAGAGTTGTCTATAGTTTATCTTCCTTGGTCCTCTGCCTCTGGTGGCGATGAGGCGGGCAAGGCGGTGCACCTCGTGGAAATCCTTGTTGGCCCTTGCCTCATTGAATGCCGCCACTCTGTCCTCCTGAACTCTGTGCCAGTGCTGCTGCTTGTGCCTTCTGCGCCACCTGCTGATCGTGATGATGCGCACTGTGATGGCGAGCTGCTCGTCGTCGTCGCCCTTGGTGTAGGCCCATGCGAGCTTTTCGCGGAGCCCCCGCCTGTGTCGCAGCAGCCTGCCGAGCTCCGCGGCGTAGTCCTTGTGCGACTCTGTGTAGCCCTCTTTGGTATTGCAAGTGGCCTCGGCCCCTGTCTTCAGCGCGTCGATCAGGAGCTGGTTGGCCTCGACTGCTTTGTTGTAGCCCGTCTGCGCCCCGAGCCAGGCAGCCTTTTTCCAAGGTTCTCGTATGCGCCATGTCTATGAAGTCTCGTCTCCTGTGTCCATGCTGCACTAGGGCGCTGGTAGCAGTCGGCTCGATCGTCGTTCATGGTCTCTGCTGCACCTTCGTGAGCTGCTCTGAACTGACCAGCGCCATTCCAATGGTATGTGATCCCATTCTCCCCTCCATCTATGAGGCTGGAATCGACGCATCATCCGTCTAAAAGTCGTGCACCATCGCACCGTGGCCAAGAGAGCGGCAGGCACTGCGATGTAGCCGAGCGTCTTGGTAACTCCATTGGGCCCGACGGGTGTGTAGCCCGCATCCTTCATTGTATTCGTAAGACAACGCTCGTGTGCAATCAAAAAGGGCCTGAGCAACGCGGCCGCTGGACGTTCTTCCTGTCCCAGTGCCTACTCTCCATAATCCCCTCGACCTGTGTGGCGAAGACAGAGTTCAAATCCATTGTGATGATAGGGGTCCACCTTCTCGAGAACCCGTCGAGGGTCTTGGATAGCCATCTTATCGTACTTTCACAACGCTGCATGTATTTGACCTGTTGGGCTCTCTCTCGGGTACACGATGGGAAATACAAACTGATGAATGCGAAACGGAGGTGCTGACGTTCGACTTTGCAACAGAGCACACGCCCCTGTAGGCCTCGGGGGATTACGGCTGCACCTCGGAGATGACACGGACGAAAAACTTAGCGGTTGAACCATATAGTGGTGCCGCACGATTTGTTGGTGTGAGCCCCCGACTTCCAGCCCTCGGGGTATCCTCAGCATCCCCCTTCCTGTCGAAGATCTCGTGGGGCCCTTTCCTTCTCCTGTGTTCCGACTAGAGTAATGACCGACGTCGTATGCAATTCGTCCAGGATGTCTTTCGTGCGGTTCTGGGTGGCGCTGTTGGGGTTGTACATGACGATACTTACCTGCCCAAGATGCGCCGGTGGGCCCCGACTCATGGCGGGCCTGCTGGGTGTGCTACCTTTCTCATCTGAATTCTGAAGTGGCGCGGGCTTTCTTGAAACCTCATACAGCCACTTATGAGGAGGAGGGGGAGGAGGAGGAGGACGTGGAGCGAGGAGGAACGCGAGGAGGATGAGGAGGGCGACGAGGAGCAAGGACGAGGAGGACGGCGGCCGCCCAGCTGGCGGCTCAGAGGAGCACCGAGTTGAGGCACTGGGCGCGGGCCTTCACCGCGCGGAGCGTCTGCTGCAACACGAGAGCGTCCCGCGCCTCTCCGCCGGGCTTTCGGGTGGGGGGCAGGCAGGGAGTGAAGGAAAGAGGGGGGAAAAACAGGAGGAGGAGGAGGAGGAGCAGGAGCAGGAGGAGAAGGAGGAGGAGGAGGAGGAGGAGGAGAAGGAGCGAGATGGAGGAGGAGGAGGACGAGGAGGCGGAGGAGGAGGCGGAGGGAGGAGGAGGAGGAGGAGGCGAAGGAGGAGGAGGAGGAGGCGGAGGAGGATGATGATGATGAGGAGGAGGAGAAGAAGAAGGACGAGGACGAGGAAGAGGAATCGGAGTCGGAATCGGAGTCCGAGTCAGAGGAGAAGGAGGAGGAGGAGGAGGAGGAGGAAAGGGGAGGAGGAGGAGAAGGAGGAGGGGCTGCGGCGCCTCGCGCAATGTCAGTTGGAGTGGAGCTCCACACCAACTGAAGAGGAAGAGGAAGAGGAGGATGAGCAGGAGGAGGAGGAAGACCGAGGAACGAAGAGAAGGAGAATGATCATAAGGATGAGGAAGAGGAGGAGCAAGGAGGGGCAATGAGGGGGAGGAGGAGGAGGGCGATGAGGAGGATGACGATGATGATGATGATGAGGAGGAGGAGGAGCAAAGAGGAGGAAGAGGAAGAGGAGGAGGAGGAGCAGGAGGAGGAGGAACAATGATGAGGAGGAGCGAGACGGAGGAGGAGCGAGACGGATGAGGAGGAGGAGAAGGAGGAGGAGGAGGAGGAGAAGAGGAGCGAACGTCGCCTCAAGAGGAGGAGGAGGAGGAGGCGGAGGAGAAAGGGGCGTAGAGAAGAGAGAGGAGCAGGAGGAGGGGCAGGGAGCCAGAGCAGAAGGGCAGAAGGATGCCGACGACGAGGGAGTAAGCTCCTCGTCGTTGTGGAACGCTCCTGTCTCGCCGCCCGCCGGCCTTGCGAGCCGACCTCCCCGCTCTGATCGCACCGCTCCACGTCGCACTCCATCCTTGTCGTCTTCGTCGTCCTCCTCCTCCTCCTCGCCTCCTTCCTCGCTCAGCTCCCTCTCCTCCCTCTCCCCCGTCCCCTCCTTCTCCAACTCCTGATCCCTTCTTTCTCCTCCTCCTGCTCCTCTTCTTCTCCCTTTTCTTCTAATCCCTCCTCTTCCTCCACCTTCACTTCCCTCTTTCCTCCTCCTCCTCCCCCTCTTCCACTTCTCGCTTTTCCTCCTCCTCCTCCTCCTTCTCCTCCTGCTCCTCCTCCTCTCTTTTTCCCCGCCTCCCCGTATGCTGACATCCAGCGCTAGCGGGGTCATGCTTACGTGCCTTGCCTGGGGGTGTGCGCAACTGCGACATATTGCGACATGCGTATACTTTTCCTTACTCCATTTCCAAAGGCGGGCCGCCTCAAGGTGCACGGACCTGACATGGGAAGCTGCTGACGACGACACCTGCTCTTAAAGACGGAGGGACATGTACAGGGGCAGAAGAAGGGAGGAGGGAAGATGAAGGGGGCGGCAGGAGGGCGGATGAGATTTGCCCTCGAGCCACACCAAATCCACAAAGGAGCTCGGAAAACGAAAACAGTACGGGGAGCGCTGGTAAGATGAGGTAGATCTCAGCATCAAGACGATTCCCGTCCTTCTTTTTCTCCCTGACACGCTGCGTGGATCACCAGGTGTGCAAGAGCGACGAACCCACTTTTTCACAAGCGAGAGCGAGCCCCGTGGCAAAACGCAACAGGGGGGAGAGCGAGGGGAGAGGTGAAGAGTGTCAGAGCGACAATCACGAACACACACACACATACCAGAGATACACATGGCCTGTGTGGACACGCGTGCTCGGCTCTGGTGAGGGTCCGTCTCGGCTCCTGCGACCTGGTCCTTGGTGACTTGGACGGCGGAAAGATGGAGACAAAGAGCTCGGCTCCACCGCGCGCCCCCCCCTTCGCCCTCCTTTAACGAAGACGAGGCCAGGACGAGGATAAAGTCAGGCGAGGGTGCATCGGGAATCTCTGAGATCTGGCGGCTGCGGTAGTGGCACCTTTTCCTCCCCCTCCGACCGACGATCGACGACGGCAGCCTTTGGCCTCCGCGCGATTATCGACTGCATCGGGCGCAAATCAATGGGGGGGGCGAGTCCATGGAGGCAAAGGTGCCCTCTTCGGGCCCCGAAGGACCCCCCCCCTCCTGGGCCCTAAAAGGGGCCCCTTTAAGGGCCCCAGAGGGAGCCCCAGGGATCCGATGTCGTGATTTTTTCAATGCGGGGTCCCTGGAAGTCTCGACCCATTCCCCAAGACCAGTTTTTCATCCTGGGTCGTTTTTTGACGGTCCTGGGGCCCGGCGAGGGTCCCTAGAGGCCGAAAAATATGGAAAACCTCCGTCCTGATTTTTTCAATGCGTTGGATCTCTGGGGCCTTTTCTGCAGCCTTCGCCGCCCCCCACTAATTCGCGCGCCCGACCGACGATCGACGACGGCGGCCGTGGCCCCCGCGCGACCCTCGACGGCAGCGAGGCCCTGGAGCGCCGGCGGCCAGCGAGCGCCGACAAGCGGCGGGCCTCCGAGAGCCACGAGGCCGCGCGCTCCCGGCAGAGACCGCCGAGGGAGCCCTCCAGGGTCTGGAGCCTCGCTCGGCAGGGCGGGGGGCAGGGGAGAGAAGGAGGAGGACCCAGACCCCCTCGAAGCATTTTCGGCCTCTGGGGGCCCTTGCCGGGCCGCGGGGCCGTCAGAACATGACTCGGGATGAAAAGCCGGTCCCGGGGAATGGGTCGAGACCCCTGCGGGTCGACGTCATGCAAAAATCATGACGTCGGGGGTCTGGGGAGAAGGAAGGTTCACCGCTAGAAGAGTCAAGGGGGGGAGCGGGGCAACATTGGGGTGGGGGGCCTATCCAATGGGAACTTATTGTCCCCGCCCGAGGCTGCTCCCCACCTCGGGCGGGTCCAGCCGACGGGGCCCCCCACCCCCCGAAACCAACCGTTGACCTCGGGATCTACGGCACTAGCTGCCCGTCGGGCAAGGCGTCGGCTCGGTCCAGGAGCACCTGCCGATCGAGCGCCTCCGCTCCTTCACGGGAGCTGAAGCCACGGGCGAGCAGACCGGAATCTAGTCCGAGGCGCGGGGCCACGGGCTGCTTCGAGAACGGAGCGACCCTCGGTGCCCTGGGAACCTCCGCAGCCCCAACAGGTGTATCCCCGAAGTGTTTCGAGAAACGGGCCCGAGTCTCAACCGTCGGGGCCGTCGAGGGCCCAAGCCCCAACCCAACGTCAGACTCTTGCGCTCAGGCCAGAGAAACACCTCTTTTTGCAAACTTGTCCGCAACGCTGTTTTCATCGCAGTCAAACTTTGAAATCTGATTTTGGCGAGCTGGAACGGCCGAGCCACGACATCTTCCCTCGCATGCACCTGCTTCCACAGGTGGGCTCGCGGGCTCCACAACGAGGTGACCATGCCAGGCGACTGACAGCAAGTGAATGTACTTTTGCAATCAGCTCGCACCGAACACATCCCTTGCACCTGCTCGGAGCACGTCACCATCGCGAACTCTTCTCCGTCTCGGGCCGTGCCCGAGATGCCGAATTCAGGGAGCACCGCCCGAACACATCTCCCTGGTATCGACGCTCGCTCTCTACAAAACGATGCTCCATCCAGCATCCAGCTACTCTCAAGCTCGGGTGGTGCCGATCGAAACCTGAACCGTCTGTGACCCCCCCTTCTAGGAGACCATGCAAATGCAAAGATCCCGTGATCCTCAACCGCCTGCCTGGATTGAAAGGCGGCCTCTCCACGCACTGGCCAGGCTTAGGAAACAACCCACGGGCAAACCTTTCCTGTCAGGCTGGCGGGCTGCCCCCAAGTCGAGGAGCCGACGGGCGGAGTTCTGACAGCATGCAATCCCTTCGGAACCCTTCCAGGGCTGGGCAGCCGAACCATCTGTGAAACATCCATCGTGCCCCTCTCGCCCTGGCAGAGCTGGCAAACCTCAGGGAGGGTCGGCTCCTGGTCGCGGATCCTTCCTTGGATCCAGTGGGGCCCCGCCGCCAAGCCCCGAAGGCATTTTGCTCGTGTCAGCCCGAGGTCGCGGACCAGTCCGAAAGGAACAGCTCCAGAACAGGTCTCCAGCAAATTTCTGCAACCCACGCACTACTATCTCGCAAAGGCAACGCTGGAAGAGAAGGAGGGAGGAGGAGGAGGAGGAGGAGGAGGAGGAGGAGGATGAGAAGGATGAGGAGGAGGAGGAGGAGGAGGACAATGAGGAGGAGGAGAGGAGGAGGGAGGGAGGGAGGAGAAGGAGGAGGAGGGAGGAGGAGGAGGAGGAAAAAGGAGGAGGAGGAGGAAAAGGAGGAAGAGGACGGAGAGGAAAAGGAGGAGGACAAGGAGGAGGAGGGGAGGATGATGATGAGGAGGAGGAGGCGCAGCAGGAGGGGGAACAGCAGGAGGAGGAGGAGGAGGAGGAAGAGGAGGAGGGAGAAGGAGGAGGAGGAGGAGGGCGGAGGAAGAAGAGAAGGAGGAATTAGGGGAGGAGGACGAGGCGTGCTAAGATCTCCGGTAACTGGTTCACAATATTTCTAGTTCGCGCGCGCGGGGCGGCCCCTGGGGGTCCCTGGACGAAAAGTACCCCGGCAAGGTCCCGTGAGAAGCCCCCAGAGCGCTCCAGGAGCGCACCAACAGGGGCCCGAGACGTCCCCGAGAGCCCCAAGAAGGGCCAAGAGAGAGTCTCAAGAAGAGCCAAGAGCGCCCAAGAGGCCCCCAAGATGGCACACCAAGGGTCCGAGATGCCACAAGATCGCTCCAAGACGCTCAAGATAGCCCCCAGACGCCCCATGAGGCTTTCAAGAGCACTCCCAAGAGGGCCCCAAGAGGCAAACATTAGTGCTTTTCCTTAGGTTTTGGGGAGATTTTGGCGTTTCCACCTTTTCGGCATCGCGACGCCCCAAGACGGCCCAAGAGGCCCCTAAGATCGCCCTAAGAGGCCCGAAAGGCCTCCGACAGGGCCCCAAGACGGCCCAAGAGGCCTCCAAAACGGCCCCAGAGGTCTCCAAGACGGCCCAAGAGGGCCCCAAGAACGCTCTAAGAGAAGCCCCAGAGGGGGAACACGAAACAACATTTCGAGCCCTCGGCCCTAAGAAGCCCCCAGGAGGCGCCAAGAGGCCCCTAAAAAGCCCCAGGAGGCCCCCCAAAGGCCCTCACGAGGCCCCCAAGAAGCTCCCAATCGGCTCCCAAGCGGCCCCCCAAATGCCCCCCCGCCCGGACCAAACCGCTCAAAATGGCCTCCAGACGCCCGCAGACGCCTGCAAGACGCCCGAAGATGCCTCCAAGAAGCGTCTCAAGTGAGCCCCAGGAAGCAAACATGGTCGATTTCTTTTTTGGTGTTTGAAAGATTTTAGCGTTCCCACCTGTTCAGCTCCCCGACGCTCCAAGACGGCCCAAGCAGCCTCCAATATCGCCCCAAGGCGCCCCAAGAGACCTCCAAGACGGCCCAAGAGGCCTCCGACACGGCCCAAGATGGCACCAGGACAGCCCAAACAGGAGGCCCAAAGTGGGAACCGGAACGGACATACCGAACCCTCGGCCCCAAGCGGCGCCCAGAAGCCCCAAGATGCTCCCAAATGCTCCCACAGGAGCTCCAAGAATCCCCAAAGAGGCTCCAACAGAAACCCAAGAGGCCCCCAATAAACCCCCAACGAGGACCCCAAAAGGCCCCCCCAAACCCAAACGCCAGCGAGGGCACAATACGGGCCGGCGAAATGAGGGAAGCGATTAAATCATAGGGAGGAGGACGAGGACGAGGAGGAATGAAGACGTACATGATGGGGAGGAGGGACTGGGAGGGAGGAGGGAACGCGGGGGGCGCAGAGGGCGAAACAATGGCGCCTCGCAGCGAGGTCGCCACGCCCGCCGAGAACGCCGGCGAGAGCCTCCAGGTTACTCCTGACCTCGCGAGTGGTGGAGGGAGGGGGGCTACGGCATCTCGCGATATTTTATTCATTTTTTGCAGATGCATGTACGTAATATTTACACTCATAATTCGCCATTCAGTAGAATGTATACGCAAACATCCAACACAGAAGTGGGGGGGAGCTAGGGAGTCGAACTGCAGCAGCGCATGCCCGAGAAACGTTTCCCGCCCCCCCCTCACCCCTCCCCCTTTCCCGGAGGACCTCGCTCTCCTCGTTGTCTGGGTGTCCCTCCCTCCCTTCATCCCTCCTCCCAGGACCTCTCCCTCGTCCCCCATTCCCCGCCCTCCTTCTCCCCCTGACCGTATTTTTGTTCCCGTGTTCTTTGCCCCCTTTCCCTGTCTATCGCGTCAGCGCCTCTGACGTGCGCTGGTCTGTTGGGGACTCGGGGCTACCTTTTGGCACACTGGCGTGCTGGACACCGATGGTCTACATGGTGCGCTCGGCACCCTGTCGAGTCCAAGCTTGGTGGCTGCATCTTGCGATGATGGTTTCCGCGCGGCGTGGCCGCTGGCCAGATGGATTAGCAAACCTTCCCGCTGCAGGTAGACAGGCGAGTGGCCCAAACGAGAGTTTGGCCATCACCTCGCTACCTTAATGGACGTCGCTCGGACAACTCATGATTGTATGGGGCTGCTTCCACGGCAAGGCCTGACTACTAGAAACATGGAGGTGGGTGAACACATGACGGTGCAGAAAGATCCACAGATGACCTCCACTGTTGGCGCTCGCGCGCCTATGAACGCGAGGTGTACTGAAGTAAACAACTGATGAGAGTGGCTCCCAAACATCGGATTCTTGTTTATCTCGACGTGTACCCAATAATCCACAAGGCGAGCTGTGATGCATTGTTATCGCATGTCTCATGCTCTTTGTCTCGTTTTTTGTTGTTTTCTCTCTCTCTCGCGCGCTCGCTCCCCCTTTTTTTTTTCTCTCTCTCTCTCTCTGCTTTACGAGCCAAGTATCCCATGTTCTCTTTATCGGCCACCGCGCCTGCGTGATGGTGGGGTGTTCTAATGCTTGCCAGTTGTCTGGTAGGGTATGTGGTATTGTTCTAGTGCCGCCCCTTCTCTCGCCGCGAAGGTCCGCGAACATCACCTCCTCTACTTTTGCCCTCCGGGCCTCGAGGCTAGAGGAGGGGCGAGGAGGAGGGGCGAAAATTCACGACAGCTCCTCGTCGTCGTCTTCCTCCTTTTCCTCCTCCTCGTCCTGCGAGCGGCAACGCGGTGTGTCCCGCGTTTGATCAGCAGGAACTCCGCGACGAAGCGGTGGCCGACAACGGCCGCGCCCAGATTCCCGATTCCTGACTCCTCACGGCTTCCCCTGTGCTTCCTGATCCCTCACGGCTACAGAGTCAGTCTGACGAAGCCTCCCCCCCGAGGCCGGTAGGCCTTGCGGTCGGCCCCGGGGGCGTGGGCAAAGCAGCGAGCCGTGCGAACGTACCGGTCGAGGCCGCGGGGCCCGCGGGGCGGGGGCCGGCGGAGACGGAGAAGCGGGGAGCCAAAGGGGGGGGCGAGAGGGGCCCGAAGCGGGGGCGACGGAGGAGAGCGGGGGAAGGAGAAGAAAGGGCCCCTCCCCATTCACAGAAACGCCGACGAAGCCCGCCCAGAAGAAGGGGCAGGGGGGGATCAAGGGAACAAGGGCGGCGGGGGGGGGGGGGAGATGGGGGGGTTCGCTGGGCCTTCCGTGCACGGGGGGGTCCACTCCGTGCACGGGTGCGCGGTTTGTGCCGCGGGTGTCCTCCTCTTCCTCCTCCTCCTCCTCCTCCTCCTCCTCCTCGATTCCTTTCTCCCTATCTTTAACTTCTCCCTGTAGCACCCCGAGGCCGATGTTTAGGGCGGGCCGGGCGTTTCGCAAGAGACTTCCTCACCATTTAAGACCCAGAAGCTTCAACATTGGCAACAGTTTCGCAAATGGAGGGCGGGTCGCTTTCAACATGTGGTTCTTGCTTTATCGCCGCGCACATTTGCTTAACATATACAAGAGTTTCGCGAATCGAGGGGGACCCGTTTTCAAAATGTGGCTATCGCCTTGGCGCCGCGCACACTCATTTGAAATATTTCAAAGCGTTTCACGGATTGCAGGCGACCCGTTTTCAAAATGTGGTTCTCGCCCTAGCGCCGCGGACATTCGTTTTAACAATCATGCTAAAGCTTCACGGAATGAGGGGGGCCCATTTTCAAACTGTGGCTCTCGCCTTAGCGCCGCGCGCATTCGTCTTCAACAGTTGCAAGAGTTTCACATGCTAAACAATTGCAAGAATTCTAAGGATGCCCATGATCAAAGTGCCAGAAATGGCGGTTTGGAGGGACTCAGGATTACGAGGGTGCAATAGTTACGTTCGTTCGCGGTGTTGAAGTCCCAAGAATGGCGTTCTGGGGCGATTCAGGATCGTCAAAACGCAGCAGTCAGGTTGATCCGTGGAATCCCGAACACAATGTTTTGGCATGCTTCAGGGTCTTCAAACGGTTGTCTTCCATTGCGATAGGCAGTTTGCTCAGAGAGCGAATTACTGAAGACGAAATTCGCTTGGCCAGAAACATGGACGGAAAAAGCTTGCATGAAAATATGCGAAAACAAAGTCAACATATGTGCAATACAGTACTGGCGTAAACGAGACTGAACATAGTCCAAGCACCCGGCGGAGGCGTGACTGCGCGGCGCAAGGCGCGCCGATCAGCTCGTAGAGCGAGCGCACGGCTGCCCGGGGAGGCTGGCCGCGCAGGCTCGGGGGCGAGAGGAAAATCATATTGATTCAAGGTGTAACTGTAGAAGAAGGGGGGAAAAAGCAGAGGAGGCGGGGGAATGGGCAGGACCCTCGACCCTGAGAGGGCGCTCGAACCCCGACAGCCCCTGGGCGACGACGCCCTGGCGGCCTGGCCACATCGACACCGCAAGGCTGGGTTCGCATCGACATCCTGGTCAGAACGCGAGCCAGAAGCCAGAGGGCTGCCTCAGACTCTCGTTCCTCGATCCTCGGTGGTCCTCCCCGGGTCTCCTTCGCCTGGGTCCCGGGGCCGCGGGCGCACCCCTGGGGGCCGCCGGGGCAAATGCTACAAAATGCGCGCGACCTCCGGGGCCCGCCGGGGCAGATGCGATCAAATGCGAGCGATCTCCTGGGCTTGGATATAATTTGTTTGAACTATTTGGGATTTGTTTTGTATTATTACGTAACAGCGAAGACTGATAGGTTCCTAGTAAGGTCAAAAGAGAGCATCATGACGCCCCAAGGGGGTCTGGGCGGGATCCGGGGGAAAGCCGGGGACTTTTATTTTTTGCCAACAGTTACACACTTCGTGGTCTTCGAGGTCCCAGAACTCCATTCCCGGGCCACATTCTGAATGCCCGGAGCCAACTGTAGGCCACTTCGTGGTCTTCGAGTTCCCAGAACTCCATTCCCGGGCCACATTTTGAATGCCCGGAGCCAATTGTAAGCCACTTCGTGCTCTTCGAGTTCCCAGTACTCCATTCCTGGGCATGATTTTGAATGCCCGGAGCCAACTGTAGGCCATTTCGTGGTCTTCAAGTTCCCAGAACTCCATTCCTGGGCATGATTTTGAATGCCTGGAGCCATTTGTAGGCCACTTCGTGTTCTTCGAGTTCCCAGAACTCCATTTCCGGGCCACATTTTGAATGCTGAGGCAGGCTGATGCTGAGGCTGAGGCAGGCTGAGGCTGAGGCAGGCTGAGGCTGAGGCCGAGGCTGAAGGCAGACTGAGGCTGAGGCTGAAGCAGGCTGAGGCTGAGGCTGAGGCAGGCTGAGGCTGAGGCTGAGGCAGGCTGATGCTGAGGCAGGCTGAGGCTGAGGCTGAGGCTGATGCAGGCTGAGGCTGAGGCAGGCTGAGGCTGAGGCCGAGGCTGAAGGCAGACTGAGGCTGAGGCTGAAGCAGGCTGAGGCTGAGGCTGAGGCAGGCTGAGGCTGAGGCTGAGGCTGAGGCTGAGGCAGGCTGAGGCTGAGGCAGGCTGAGGCTGAGGCTGCAGGCTGAGGCTGAGGCTGAGGCTGAGGCTGAGGCTGAGGCTGAGGCTGAGGCTGAGGCAGGCTGAGGCTGAGGCTGAGCAGGCTGAGGCTGAGGCAGGCTGAGGCTGGCTGAGGCTGAGGCTGAAGGCTGAGGCTGAGGCTGAAGCAGGCTGAGGCTGAGGCTGAGGCAGGCTGAGGCTGAGGCTGAGGCTGAGGCAGGCTGAGGCTGAGGCAGGCTGAGGCTGAGGCTGAGGCTGATGCAGGCTGAGGCTGAGGCAGGCTGAGGCTGAGGCTGAGGCTGAGGCTGAGGCTGAGGCAGGCTGAGGCTGAGGCTGAGGCAGGCTGAGGCTGAGGCAGGCTGAGGCTGAGGCTGAGGCTGATGCAGGCTGAGGCTGAGGCAGGCTGAGGCTGAGGCCGAGGCTGAAGGCAGACTGAGGCTGAGGCTGAAGCAGGCTGAGGCTGAGGCAGAGGCAGGCTGAGGCTGAGGCTGAGGCAGGCTGATGCTGAGGCAGGCTGAGGCTGAGGCTGAGGCTGATGCAGGCTGAGGCTGAGGCAGGCTGAGGCTGAGGCCGAGGCTGAAGGCAGACTGAGGCTGAGGCTGAAGCAGGCTGAGGCTGAGGCAGAGGCAGGCTGAGGCTGAGGCTGAGGCAGGCTGATGCTGAGGCAGGCTGAGGCTGAGGCTGAGGCTGAGGCTGATGCAGGCTGAGGCTGAGGCAGGCTGAGGCTGAGGCCGAGGCTGAAGGCAGACTGATGCTGAGGCTGAAGCAGGCTGAGGCTGAGGCTGAGGCAGGCTGAGGCTGAGGCAGGCTGAGGCTGAGGCTGAGGCAGGCTGAGGCTGGGGCTGTGACTGCGACTGCCGTTCCCGCTGCGACTGCCATCGCGAATGCGACTACGACTGCGAGAACAGCAGAATTCTACAACTGGATTCTCATCTGAATCTTAAAGGGGAATGCTTCCAGATATGCTCCTACACATCGCTGTTAGGTTGCTTTGCCGGGATAATTTTGTATTTTTATTGCATT